GCTACGCCGGGCTCATCACCCGCGGGGACAGCCTGCGGGCCGGGGCTGCTCACCCGGGTCTCCTGCACCCAGAGACAACCCCGGCTTTGTCCTCCCTCCCCAGCCCCTCGCCGTAGCTGCCCAGGCAGCATCAGCCTCCCACCGTGCTGGGATGGGAGACGCTGTCAAGGTGCGTTTTCCAATCTTATTTAGATGGTTTGAAGCCATGAGTGGCCCCTATGGATGTGGAGGGGTTGGACCAGCCTGGGGGGCTGCTGTTCCAGGCACTAAACCCTGGGACATATCCTGCCAGCACCTCTGTCTGCTCCATGCAGTGTGTGTTACAGCCTGCAAAGAAAGGGACCGACCTCTGGCACACACACGGGGCTGGTTCTGGTGCCCGTGGCTTTCACATGCACCAACCCAACAGATCAGGCTTGAGCCATGTAATTTTAAAATGCCCCCTATTTTCTGGAGGAGGACTGGGGTGTGATTGATCGCCTGCAGGTTTTTCTTGCCTACCCAACCCAGCCTGGCTTCCAGCAGCCTCTCCTCATTGCTCCCCACCATCTGTCAGGGTGCTGAGGCGCTGGCACAGGGTGCCCAGAGAAGCTGTGGCTGCCCCATCCCTGGCAGTGTTCAAGGCCAGGTTGGACACAGGGGCTTGGAGCAACCTGCTCTAGTGGAAGGTGTCCCTGCCCGTGGCAGGGGTTGGAACTGGAGGAGCTTTAAGGTCTGTTCCAACCCAAACTATTCCATGATTCTATGATCTCCAGCTTCTTGTCTTTGCTATCCCTGCATGAGGTGTGCATAGTGGTGGTGTCTGCTGTGTGCCATGCCCCACTCCCACAGGACTGATATCACCATCTCCGGGGGCAGTTTTGCCCACAGGCTGTTTGCTGCAACGCCCTGAAAAGTACTTTTGTGGGGAGGGCGAAGCACTGGGGTGACATTCACCAGTTCTGCCCAGTGGGATGGGAGCTGCAGGGCTCCACACCGGGGACAGCAGCAGCTGCTGGAGAAGTTGAGTGTGAACAACTGGTGACTGGATCACCCTGTTTATTGCTCTTATGTTTTAATTAAAAGAACTTCAGCTTTTCTCTCCTCTAAATCTCTGCTACCCCACCAGAAAAGCTGCACAGGAAGCTCCTGTGGCCCATCTGTGTGCGCCACCAAAACTTTGCAACCTGCCAGCACTTGTGCCATGGCAAAATGCACAGTAGGACATGATACTGGGATCAAAAGAGAGGTAATTCCATCAGCCATGGGGGCTTGGACCTGCCTCCAGCACACATGACCTGATGGGATTGTTTAACAAGTGCTTTGGGCTCGTCTGCGCTGAGTTTGTGAGAATTAAAGTGTTTATTTTGGGCTCTGGCCAAAGGCTGCTGGATGCTGCCAAGAAATAAAAGTCTCTGAGGCTTCCTCTAGGAAAGCTTTCACCCCTGCAACTACCACATGGAAAACGGGGTGGGGGGGGAGAAGGAACATTTCCCAGCTGCCTGGGCATGATCCCCAAATCTACTCCCTGATGCTCTCAGGGCAGGTCTTAGGGCAAGGAGTGGAGCTGGTTAAAATGGGGCTGCTCGGAGCTGCATCGCCAGGAGATGACCCACGGGACACAACACTCACGCCATGTGAATAATTGTATTTCTTGTCTTATATCTCATCTATATTCAGGATGTATAAAAATCTATCTAAGCAGAAGATGCTGAAATCCAGAATTTTTTTTTTTTTTTTTTTTTTTCCCTCTTTTAAAACCTGTCAATAGGCTGGAGTTAAGTTTCCTGATAACTTCCCCTGCGCGAGTCATTGCAAAGAACAAGGAACAAACTCCAGAGCACACAGCACAGTTTGGATAAAGTGCCTGACACATAAGACTCTTTTTTTTTTCCCTTTTTTTTTAATTATTATTATTTTTTCTTTTTTAACGTTTGCAAATAGCTTTAACAAATATAGTTGCAAGACACAGAGGAGTAACAATTGCATTTCGCTGAAGAGCAAAACCTATCCCATGAGAGTAACGATAAAGCAGCAGCAAAAAGAACCCAACAGAAAAATCAATTTAATTAGAAGGAAAAAGTCATTTAAAAACTCAGAGATGAGGCCCTCAGTCTGTGTGGGATGAGGACGAGTATCACCTATTGCTACGCAGAACAATGAGCAGTGTTTTCTGGAGGTGGCTGGACAGGCAAACCTGAGGCTGCAGATTCTTCCTGGCTGGGTTTAATTCTGATTTCTTTGTTGGGTTTTTTCTTTAGACATTTAAGGGAAAAAAGAAGAAAAAAAACCCCAACAAAGATTTTGTTCTTTGCATTTTTAATTTCTACTCTTTGGAAACCCCAATGAAAGACAGACAAAAGAGGAACCGGATCCTGCATGGCAGCGCCTGGAAGAGCAACCCCAGAGCCGCTGCCTGCGCTGCCCAGGCTGCGCATGTCCTCTGAGACAAGGGAAAGGAGCACAGGGGCCAACCCAGCTCAGCAGCATCTCCATGGTGGCCAAGGCAGGTTGAAGACGGAGGTAACGAGGAGCTGATCAGTTTAGAATCATAGAATAGAATCATAGAATGGCTGAGGTTGGAAGGAACCCTCAAAGGTCACCTAGTCCAACCCCCCTGCAATGAGCAGGGGCATCTTCAACTAGATGAGGTTGCCCAGAGCCACCTCCCTCCTGGCATCTTCCCCACTGGGACTTCGGATGCTCAGGAAAAGGGACATGATGTTTTTTACAAAGCCATTTCTTGGCATGAAGAAGCGCCAGCTCCTGACCCACCCTGTGCTGATGTCCTCAGAGCAGCAAAAGCTCAGCTCTGCCTGTGCCATAGTGGGGTGACAATGGGTAAAACCCAGCCTGGAATCCCCAGGAGCCCAGCGGGATGGGCACAGCACTGCCCCACTGCTGACAGGGGGGTTTCAAAGCACAAAAGCCATCGGTTGAAAACTTCCACCCAAAGTAGAACCAAAGAGCCTGGGGTCATGAAATTACCTGAATTCCTGAACACTTCCACAGCTGAAGTAGGACACGGTGGCCAGGCTGAATCAGCAGGTCTCGGTGGGAGATCCTGGGTCCCCTCCTCTTCCTCACCCTCTGACCGTTTGCTTTCCATCACCCCTCAAGGTGCCCCTGGGGCCCCTTTTCTTCTCCTGCTCCCCACAGCACAAAAACGCTCTTCAGGGGCGACCCTGGTTGGGAGAATTGTCTTTAGGACAGAGCTTGGATTGTCATTACCTGCAGAGAAAAAAACATCTTTGGTATCATGGCAAGTTGCTCCTCAAGG